CTTTGGTAAATTACTATTTAAGTGAAAAATTGTAATTGGTTTTTTTCTAGGTATTAATCTGCACTCCCCCCCTTCTGAAACAGTTTCTAAAGGACAACGGGGAAAAAAATCTGCCCTGTAAAAATTCAAAAAAACTTACTTCTAAAATTAAGCTTAGCCTACTGGGGAAAGTAATTCCTGGAAAACTTTTCAAATCAAGATATTTTCATTTGTCTTTATGTGGTTTAACTCTTCATTATTTTAGAGTCATGGTTTCCTAGAAAATCATTTGCTTAAAATCCAGATATTCAGCTTATTGACACAGCACTACCTGTAGCAATATGTTTAATCTTTTCCAGATCTACGGGATGGCTCCTCATTTCCAATGTTGTGCATTTGTGTTTCTGCTAATCTCTTCTTAATAATGCTTGCTGCAGATTTGTTCATTTCATTGACTTTATCAAAGAATAAGCAGCTGGATTTTTAGAACAGCTGCTTCTTGAAGTTTCATTATTAATTTCTGTTCTTATCTTAATTGCTTCCTTCAGTATCATTTGTTTCTGCTCTAAATTCTTGGGTTTGGTTGTGTAATTCATGTCTTTTCTTTCTTCACTATTAAATGGATTTGAAAGTTATAATTTTCTTTCTCTGTGCACAGCTTAGCATGTGTTCCCCCATAAGATGCTCTCAGTGCAATTTTTTATGTCTTCTACAACAATTTTATCTCCTAATTGCGTTTTCTGATATTTTTGTTTTTCACTTTCTAAATTAATATAAAATCAATAACCATGCAAAACTCAGTAAGTACAATCAAACTATCAGATTGTATGAAATAACCCACAAAGAGAGCACATGGCAAGTTACATGGGACAACACGTGAGCAGGATAACCTAGAGCTGGCTTCACTGTTTATCCAAAAGAGCTCCAGGACAGAATGCTGAATCACTGCTAAAGCCACTAGATGGAGAACAGCACTGAAGGCATTTTGGTGCTCGGCTCTTTCCTCTCCTATGAGCATTATGCCCTGGGCAGCTGTGATATGGCCCCTTTGGAAAACAGGGAACAGAAGAGGAGAGTCTGAGCTCAGAGGAACAGGGCAATATCCCAGGTCCCTGCTGACCATAACACAAGAAGCAAGCACATCAAATAGACAAGTGCCCACACAGCTCCCTGGGCAACATGTTCAGGTAAACATAAGCCAGAATCACCAAACATTTAAGAAACAAATGCATAGGAGATAAATAGAAGGAGAAAATGCAGTCAGTATATGAAATAGAAAACTTTGTATAGTTATAATCAATGGAGAGATGAGAAAGAATATTATATTTGGAAAGTTTTGATAAAGTAAATCAGCATTTTTGGTAAGTAAACAAATTCAATATATGTGCCAAATAAGCAAATGGAAAGTTCTGAAAGAACCTAGTAAGTAGGATGATTAATGCCTTCTTCAAAAAGAAATGCAAAAACAGAGGAAGTGGAGGAAGCAATGAAGACATGGAGAGGAGACCTTGTATGTCTGCAACTGGTTTGATAGATGTCCCAGGAATGGTGAGCAGCGACAGGATGGGGAATAAACAAAAAAGAAAAGCCAGAGAGATGCATGTACTTCCATATCAGAAGAGACAGCCAAAGGCTGTGCTAGATTAAAAACAAAAATGGAAGCACTGTAAAATCTTATAATATGGGGAAAGGAGAAAAAGAAAAAGAAACAATAAACCGAACAGAGAAAATGCAATAAAAGATCAGAAAAAAGAAGAAAATACAGTTAATGAAAAGTAAATTAGAAAGAGGACAAACACATGTTAAATGAAGTAGTAATCCCAAGACGTGAGAACACATCGAATTTACACATTAAACAAAACTACGAAATTGGGTAAAACCAGCCACCCTTATCACTAGAAATCTCTTTTAAACCAGTGACATGGAGACGGAAAAACTAAGTGATAGAAGAAGAAAATGCCACATAAATGCTAACGACAAATTATAAGAAATACTAGACAAAGCACAGACCAAAAGGAAATCAAGCTGAAAAATAATTAATGGGAACAGTAGACTATTTCAAATCTATAAGAATCAAGAGTGAAAAACAAACTTTGCTTTAGCCTCATTGACCAATTACAGCCAAGGAGAACAGAATTCCCCTTAACAGTAAGATGAATTAGTGGGCCGGGCATGGTGGCACACACCTTTAATCTTAGCACCCGAGAGACAGAGGCAGGTGGATCTCTGTGAGTTCAAGGCCAGCCTGGTCTACATAGTGAGTTCCAGGCCAGCTGGGGCTACAGGGAGACCCTGTCTCAAAAAGCCAAAAAAAAAAAAAAAAAAAAAAAAAAAAAAAAAAAAAAAGTGAGATGAATTAGGCTTGAATACCTAGCAAGTAGAGGTGTCTCCCTTTTCTGATAGACTGATAGATAAGCCATACACAGTAGAAATTATTGCTGGAGACAAATCAGGGATATATAAAGGCAGTCAACAGTGATAGACCACCCTGCACTTATCACAGCACATAATCTACTTCCTTATAGCACTAATTACTACAAAGTACTGAAGGTCTATGAAATTTAAAAGTGCAACATTTCATTTCCTTGTCTCCTTTTAATTATCTATATGCTCCATTATCTGAGCCTGTTTGTCAAAGGCAGGTTTGACACATCAAACCACAACACTGAATAGTTTAAGTTACCCAACTAGAAATTGTATGCTGGCATGATTAACCTTTAAGAAGTTAGGAGGCTCTGAATGAATTTCAATAATTTCTGTTGCTGAAATGTTTGGAGTGCTTCACATTTTGTATGCAAATATTTAAGACAGTTTCATAATGCTCACTTACTTAAAGCCCTGTAGTATTTTCTGGGCACCATCTGTAATTATATATATACTTGGTTTATACATGTTGTGTTTTGTGTTGCAGACCATGAGTTCATGAGTGCTTTATCATCTGCTCTATGAACTACAAGCACCATCTGTGGCCAACACAGTACAGTAAGGCTGCATACATGTAGGTTTTAGCTAAAAGGAGCCATTTCCATACCCTTAGAACAAGCCCAGCATTCACCTTTTGTTTGCAATATTTTGTCAGTTTTACAAAAATGTTTACATTCCTAAATAGCTCTGCTCATAGACACTTCAAAATCACCTGGTACTTGACACAGTCACAACTACTAGTAGGGCCTTGTAAATACCTTCTGATGCTGTTCATCCTTCATCTTTTGCAATTTGGGGTTTTCTTCCTTCTTTAGAGAATCCCCATGTGCTTGGCTACTAGCCTGTAAAGGTAGAAGGGGAAAAGTATCACCTCAATATATCAATCTTCCTACTGTGGAACTGCTGTTAAAAACTCAGCCTCTCTATGGAGCATACATTAAACTCTCCATACACACTTGCTTATTGAGTGATTTATGTATACATCTGAAGGCATCCCCTGGGATATATAAAAAGAAGGCTAGTATAAGTACAATCATCCAGCATGTTTTAAAGGATGATTTAAATGTTTGTTTAATTAAGCTATAAAAATTTATCCTCAGAGATAACCAACATAATTCATTCCTTCTGGTGGAAAGCTAAAGATATTCAAGATTTTTCCAACTGGCTGATCAGTTCTGATCACAGACAACCAATAATGGCACTGTCTTTAGAAGCCCTGACATGTCCACTGCTCATTAGTTCTATCTTATTAAACTTTGTCAACTGGTGATTGATTATATGTAATCCCAAGGATGCATTTTTTTCTAAACCTTTGCATCTCTCATCAGTACCTGAAGCATATTTCTATTTCTGAAGGAGAGGGTTAACAGCCTTTTCTGGAGCACAGGAGCCTTGGGAGAGCTAGTACCTGCAACAGGATGTCATGCAGTTTTTCTGACCCACCACATCACGGCCCCACATAGTACCTAGTGACTTGCTCTTCTGAGTGTATGAGATTTCAAGTAGCAATGATCCCAGACTTATGATGGTTCGACTTGTTTTTTTTTCTCCCAATTCTATGATGGTGCAAAAGCTATGCACATGCAGTAGAAACTGTATTTCGAATTCTGATCTTCTCCCAGACTAGTGATATGTAGTAAACCATTACCTCTGGATGCTTGGCAGTGGCAGCAAGTCCCAGCTCCTGTCAGCCATGCAATCAGGAGGATAAACAACTGACACTCCACAGGGCACTGTGCTACGCTAGGATGTTCAGTGGGTTAGATGTATTAAATACAATCTGAGTTGTGACATTTTCAAATTGTGATGGGTTTATTAGGATGTAACCCCATCATGAACCCAGAACCATCTTTATCCTGTTCATTTGTCATGAATTTCTACTTCACATTGACCTTGTAGCCCCAGCCTCTGTAAGGCAGAAAGACCAGTCCAATAGCCTTATGCTCAGGAAATTCCACTAATCTCATAAAACTCCTAGCAGCATCATGTGAGAAAGCTACATATTTCAGGCCTCATTCTCTAAACTAATAATCCATAAAGCTTGTGTAGGCTGATTCCGCCTTTTCCCTTACTATAATTTCTCCAAAGTATTTCTTCGTTCGTTCTCCCATTCTTGTCACTATAAAAATCCATATACCTCCAAACAGAAAGAACCACTTTCCAGAGAGGAAGAGAAGCTTTCAGAATCATATCACATACAGAAGGAGAACTGAGAATTGTGGCATGGCACACATTCAGAAATCCCACACATATCCAAAGCCTACTACACCACACAGGTACACCAGCATGCTATGACTTTCTCTTGTCTGTATTCCCCAATCAGTGGAACTGTGATAAGCCATAGCACATAGGATCTTGTATTGACACAATGCTTGCACATTAAAGGCTTAGATATTGTTTATGTATGAATAAATTATAAGCATTAAAAGGGAAGGCTCTATCAGAGAAGGTGGCTCTCCGAGGACCCCTTCTTTTTATATTAGAGAAAAATATTCTTTATTATAAATATTCTACACAAAAGAAAGGAAAAAAGGAAAGAGGGAAGGGAAGAAGGCATTTTCTACTTAAGAAATTAAAGAGAAAAATGTATAGATGAAACAAATATGACAAGCAGGGAACCTAACTTTTACTTGACTATTTTCCTTGCTCCTTATGAGAGTATGAACCCTAGTTCATACCCTACATGAATGGTTTTTAAAACTCTGGGACATTGGGGCTAGAGAGATGGCTCAGTCGTTAAGAGCACTAGCTGCTCTTGCAGAGAACTTGGGTTCAATTCCTAGCGCCTACATGGTGGTTAACAACCATCTATAGCTCCAGTTCCAGGGGATCCAATGCCCTCTTCTGACTTCTGCAGGCATT